GGGGGGGGTGACGTCCCTGTCTGCCAGTGCGCATGCGCGGTAGCATTTAATCCTCCCACTGAGTTACGTGTACAACACCTTCTGACAGCGGAACATTAAGAAAGAAGTTCCGATCGCAGAGTTCAACTCGTCTGCTGGTGTTTGTTGTGGAGCTCAGGTGATGTCTGCTCGCCTTGTTTCCGCCGCCCGCTTCACAAAGTCGCTTTAATGCCCTGGTTCGGGTGGAGAGGGTTTGTTGGTGAAGCTAGTTCCGCCTTGGCTCTGACCCGGTGATGGACGGCGGCGACAAGTGTCAAAAGTAACCCGGGGGGTCGACGAGATACAGGGGAACCACGTCTCCTGGGTGGCGGGCACATCTCCACACAAGCGAGGCGGCCACTGGAGAAGGTGAGAGGTTTGTTTGCCACCATGCACTCGTCTTTTAGAGCGACAGCTAATTTCTGCAAGCTAACGATGCTAATGCCACAGGACAGGGGCAGTAGCCACCTGTTGCTGGCTCTACTCTGGCTAGCAGCAGACACGGATTAGCATTATGCCTGCGGTGTTTTGTAATGCGTGTCTATCTTTAGCCCACAGCCCTTCTCTCTGTTTAATTTAGAAAACACGCAGATACAATAAAACAGTAGAAAGGACGGTACTCGGACTGTCAAGGAATACCTGAGGCTAGCTGTGCACAGTTAGCCTCAGGTGCAGGTACAGGTACTGCCTGTGCCTGTATCTGATGTAAGTTCCCATGTGTTGTTTGCTGTAGGCTGAAGAACTGAACAAACCTTACTTCTGACGTGTTGTTTGAACTACTTCTCCACAGGACACTTAACAACCAGGACAATGATTCAAATCCTGTGGTTTCTACAAAGAGGGAGGTTTCAGGTGTGAATTACTTGGAGCATTCTACTGCATTCCTTTCACAGGCCTGTCTACTTGTTCCAACAAGCACCCACAAGCTTTCAGCAGCGATTGAAACAGCAGTACTCCCCATAGGAGAGAAGAGAGAGCACAAAAGGAGCTGCAGCTCATTGTATGTGATCTGGATAGGCTGCATTGTAATCAGGCCGTACGTGTTATTGTCTTTGTATACAGACAACTGCAAGTTGTTGCATCTCACAAAGATTATCGATCAGAGATGAAAATGATCTAAATGTATAGAAAGTGGGTGGCAACATGGAATGAGGTTGAGGGATTGCCAGTGAGTCGCAGCAGACTGGATGCAAATGGAACTAAATGGAAACCCACCACGGCATGTAGCTGCAGTCATGTTTATGATGGTGCTTTCTTTGGCAGATAACCGGCTGTTTGTCTGGAGGGAATGTTCGTGGTCGTTTCATATTTTTAAATTGGATTTGGTGGGAAGTTATGCGCATACTATCTAGAGTTACATATGATTACATTTTCTAAACCTGCACAGAAGGACTTTGTACAGGTCTTTTGAATCAGTTTTGATTTGGAAATAAACTGCTTAAGTGGCAGACTTAATTAAAACAAGCCTCCACGGTTAGAATATAAATGGATGGAACACAGAGATGTGTCTGAGCGTCTGAATATTGTGGGACCGTATGTGTGCGCCTTATATAATCAAATGTGTGAACCATTAACAGCTAAGAGCTACCCATTGACAGTGGCTCTTTTAAGTCCATGCAGCTCGCTCTCTAACCAATTCCACTTTGGCTCTTTATTTAGTGATTGCTAAGTCTGCAGAATGAAACTTGGCACAATAGCCGATTGTACTCCTCTCCGCTTTGCAGAGCTCGGTCCCTTTATCCGATGAACTGGGAGTTCTTAATGAGCTTCCTGTGAACAAACAGGATTGTGTAAAATTTATAAACCAAAAACCAGTGTGAACCGAACACAGCTGATTTTAAACATTGACTTTCCAGAGGACTCGCATGAGTTTGAAGTACCTCTGACATGTTGCAAAGTGTGTCATTCACCGAGCTGGCATCTCAGGAGTTGTTCTTGCTTTGCCATGGCAACATAATCTATCTGTTGGTTCCATTAGAACTGTTTAAAAATGTACATTATTGAGGTTTGTTTATTTTGGATTGCTACATTAGTAGAAAAGGAAGTGTCTTATTTTCAATATAATTTATGACTATTAGAGTTTATGTGTTTTATTTGAATGACAAGCAGCAAGCCAGGAAATAAGCTTATCAAGTTAGCATGACAGCAGATGAAAGTGTTGGTTTGTAAATATCTCTGTGGCTCTGATCTATGAGAGTAAATTACATCCAGGTTACCATGACTCACATACTGCTGATATGTTTAATGCAGGCATCACGTGAGACAATATGCATTCTTTGAAAAGCTCGGTTGGTTATCAGCAGGGAAGGAATGGTGGTGAAATGATGGTTAAAGAAAAAGATTTATTGAAGATGATGCTGAGATATTGAAACCACAGACAAGTTATTTTCAAGAAGAAACTGATACATAAAACGGGAATAGCACATCATGTGCTCTGATTATGATTTAATTGGTTGTTGCATGATCATGGAATGTGTTGATTTATAAAACAGTGATTTGATGTGATGTGTTTATTGCATGGGTTAACATTATGATGCAGACAGAGAAGTGTTTACTCTTGTTCATTTACAACCTGATTTAATCACCTCGTTTTATTTTTCTGCCATAAACATGTATATTAGACATATGGCAATTTATTGACATTTTTGCTGAATTCAGCCGGACTAAAGTGTCATAAGGTGTCCTAAATATTTCACACATTACTCAGGGTTTTGCAACCTTATTGTGTAAACAGGACTGAAGCCTCACCTCCATTATAAATACAAAATAGGTGTACACTTGCACTTGCGTGTAAGTGCCGAAATACCTCTGTTGGATCCTGTTTCTAAACCTGAAAAGCGGGCTGCCATTTTCTTTCTGTTCGCTGAGTTGTACTCTTTATAATGCTGACATATTCAATGTGGGCCTGATACACAAAGAACCGCATAGAAGTAAATTGAAGCCGGACATTTCCTGTTGAGCTTTTGGATGCTCAGTGAGATAGTGACAGGGCTGGGCATGAACCTGTGTTGTTTGGACATGTTCATGTGGTGTCCTGAATTACAATATGGGGAATAGTACAGCAGCTGTAGTTTCCTCTGTTGTATCCTCACAAGGCACATTAACTCACCTCTGTTAGCTTTGCTGCTAGCCTGCACCAGCTAACTGTTGCACACCGGGAGGATATTTGAGAAGAGAATTAGGTTGCAGTGGTGCTGAACTTTATCTAGTGAATTATTTGTGAGCAAATTCAACTAGTGTATCAACTTCTCTCTCTTTATGGGCAGGTTGGAAAAGATGATTAAGAATTTGATTAAGTTTTTTTTTGATAGATATTTTGTGTATTTCGGGGTAAACAAGGTCAAGGGCTTACGTGTCTTTTTCAATACAAAATAGCATTTACGCACCTTTTTATGGTCGTTTACTTACGTGTTGTCCAATTTTTTTATAAGTTTGAGTCAAATTCAACACCATTGTTTACTGAGCATTATATGACAGAAAACCACCTCATCTTGCCCCCGCCCCATCTAACTGTTGCCTGGCATCCGACCCTTGCTCTCCCCTCCCCTCTCCTTAGTGTACAGCGCTTGCTGCTTGCACACTCTCAAAGTCCAGTCTCTCTTGCAAACTGACCCAGCTGCTGTAGGTCCTTCCATGCTGTACATAAACGGGTCGACGTGACGCAGCAGCTCATCAAAATGGGACACAGACATACGGTGGACTTTTCTCTTTTAACAGCTGCACACAGATCAGCTGTGTTGCCGATGTTTTAGCACCAGTCATAGGCGGGTTTAGCCTCCTTTTTTGGGATGATCGAGGACCCCTAAAATTACTCTCTGCACACCTAGCAATATAATAATGTATATTTTGGCCTGCATTTCAGACGTCCATCTTTGGGTTTTAAATACACTGCTCAAAAAAAAATATGGGAACACTTAAATCACACATCAGATCTTGATGAACAAATTATTGTTCAATGGAAAACCCATTGAGGGCTGGAATCAAATCCAAATTGAAAACCAAAGTAAAAACTTGAAATTACAGGCAGATCCAACTTGCATGAATTTCATCACAGCAACTAATAATGTGACTCAATAGTGTGTATGGCCTCTGCATGCACTCTCTGGGCATTGAACCAGCAGAGATCATAGTGAGCTGAGCAAATAAAGTTCCTTTGTTTTTCTTTTAGATATGCCCTTTTACTATTGATGATTTATATCTGGGTTTATATCTGAATAAATATATATATATATGTATGTAATATTGCTATTTTCAAAGGTAAATATTTGGCAGTCATCCTATTTACCGATGTATTTCCAGATGAGTCCATTACTAAAATGGTAATAGGCCAATGAGAACGTTCATGCTCTTTTGATTTAGAGTTTGCTATCTTGTCAATCTGTACTACCCATATACAGTCTATGGTACTACCACAATAACTGAACAGAGCCTTTTCCTTCTGCCAGGGTTTTTTTTTCCTGAATTAGGTCACTGTAAAGATTTAACTGCATTTGATCAATCATTGAACTCTAAATCCTGCAGGTGCTCCTCTGAATCATCTGTGCTGTACAGGATAGTTGAGGACATTGACAACCTGAGGAAGATATGGAACAGTAACATACAGACTAGAGAAATGCTTATTGACCTTTTCAGTGAATCATTTTGAAGTGGTGTACAGTCATGCGATCCTGCCTGCAGCTTTTGAGCATGTGTTGTGTTTACATTTCACACAGACACTTGTCAAACCAGTTGGACTGAACCAAAGCTGTCCAGATAGAGGTTTTGTCCATAAATAAGCAATTACCATAAAAAGTTCAAGGCAGGGTTGGTTCTTTTGTTTTTGCATAGGTGTTTAAGGAGTTATATATAGGGACTTTCCTGAATACCAATTTTTGTGGCTTCAAAGCATCAGGGAAGACTTACTCACAAATATTACAGGCTTTAATGGAGGAGGTGGTTGGAAGAATCAGACAACAATATACTTTCTTAGCCTGCAGGTCGGTCCTATATAATAAGAGAAAGCAAAACATTTTATCCTTCCTAAGACAGCTCAGCTGCTACTTCCAATAATGACAATAATATAATTTATATCAATAATGTCCAGGAAAATATGTGGCCAAACTAAATTTGTTATTTTGAAAGCCTTAGTGGTAATGCATAATAATGATAAAAAGGAAGCATTCAAATACTAATTTGAAAGTTGATTATCATGTCAACAAACAACGTTTTTTTGGTTGTTGACATGATTTGATTCACCTAAGTATGTGTATATGTAGTGTAAATTTTAAGCATGTTCAGTGTGAATTTCAACTGTAGATAAGTGATGAGAAGGTCAAGTACTTTCCTCCCATGTTACAGTCTCCCTTTTATCCTGCAGTTTGTATTGCGCAGCGTACTTAGTCACATGGGTTGGGTTATACCAGTTTGTTGTCCAGGGACTCTTGACATTCCAAAGTGCAGACTGATACTGCTGTTTGCACCCTCCCCTGTTAGTGATGCTGCACCTACTGTTTTGAACCAATAACAGGCAGAGCCATCTTTTGAATAGTTGCTGTGTAGTTCACTGGGAGAGAGAATGATCACTGATTGTCTGTATGTTTATTAATTCGAGCTGCTTATCTGTCCTTATCATCCTGATGTGGACTCTCTGCTGCTCAGTCCCTCCCGCCCACTGATCTGTCTTAAAGCTACAGTACAATCACAAATTGTGAATTCCTAACTAATCTGAATCACAGACATCATAGAATTTAGTGGAAGTGGTTTCTCCATTGTTGGTAGTTTGTGGAGCTTCGTACTGGATCAATGTTTAATATAGGTGACTAAGACCGGCAGAGAATAGCCTTTCTTGAATGAGCAAATTCAACTAGTATAAAACTGTCTCACAAAGCTGACTTAGAGCTAATAGGGGCATTATTTTAATATGGACCTCCTGTTTAATTCAAATATAATAAAAACTGCCATCCACCCTGATGTTTGGATTTCAATAAATAATGTCTGATTTGAGTTATTCAGAATTGAAATTTATTTTAGCAGTTTCTTTCTCTCACAGAACATAACAAATATGGCTCATTGTGTGTCAAATCATCCCACTTTTGGTCTGCACCATCACATATCTAAATGAAATTTGGCATACTGATTCGGTCATATGAGAAAACTAAGGAGCTGCAGTTATATGCATTCATTCCTAGTTAAAGGTCCAGTGTGTAAGATTTAGGTGAAAGGGAACTATTGGCAGAAATTTAATGTAGAATAATTCTCATGATGTTTTCACAAGTTCGTTTAATCTAAATTGTAGTTGAGTTGTAGTTTTCTTTACCCCAGAAAAGGCCCTTTATATTTAAATACTTTATATTCACATTGATGGGACCCTTTCTATGGAGGCTGCCATGTTTTTTACATTAGTCCAGACTGAACAAACTTAACACCTTTTGAGTTTTTATGACAACTGAAGCTGCCACAGGTTCTTTTTCACTTTTGAAAGGGGAGGGTGAGGTGAGGGGTGTTCAGCTGCAACATGCAATTTCAACATGGTCAGAATTACCAGAGGTCAGATGTAGTTGTTTTGATTTTCTAACATACAATGTATGTATGAGTTTTTTTATAAATGATCTTTAGCCAGTCTGCTGTACTAGAAAGTGCTTGAAAACAACCCCCCAAAACCATCATCTCAGTTTATTAAGTAGACCTACAACTAAAGCCATCAACAGTCCTGCAATAAATCCTCCTCCAGGAAGGTTTCTCGAGGCGTTGACTCAACTGGAGGCTCATTTTGAAGGCTGCAGTTTATTTGGTTGTGGAATAGCATTGCATTATACTGTCGTATGTCTTACTATTTAGTTCACCTCTGATAAATCAGTGAGGGTAGACAACCCTGTATGAGTAGTACATATTAACAGCCAGCTGTACTCAGTTAAAATGAGTGATAAATCCCAAAACAAGTATAGAGACCCTGTGAAATAAACAGACATGTCCCCTTGACTGTGTGGTGATGACTGCAGCCTGAGTAGAAGAATTTTTTTCTCTGAATGGTTGTCACACAAAAGCTGTCTTTTTGTGTCACCTGTGAGCTTTACACATCTCTTCATGGATGAGATTTATAAAACTAAATTGCACACAGCATGCATCAGCCCGTCTTGTATTTTAAGAGTGTATTTTCAAAGCAAGAGCAATATGCATTTGGGAAACTAATGTATTCCCCTGGTCACTGTCATTGTGTGATGACATGAATTAGACATTTTAGTTTGCTAGTGAGCTAATTAGTGCACTATTTTCTTTACTAACACAGCAGAGCTTTTTGTTCAGCTTCAATCTACCCCCCCATTAGCTGCAGAAAACATCCAATCTGTTGAGTGCCCTGAGAGCCATTCATTGATTTATTGAGTAATAATGGACAACCAGAGCTACCTTAAGTAATTAGAATACGTTTTGTTGGATTAACTTCAATATCAGCTGCTTTGGGATTGTGCTTCCTTCTACTTCCTTTTTTGAATTCACTGCAAATTACACTATATTTCCTCAGTGACAAAAAGTAATTCAATAATTATAAGAAAGATATTTGTTTATCCTGGAGTCTCTTTTAACAAACAACTTATAATGAATTAATGTGTTGTGTTCTGCTGTATTATTGAATATCTACCAAATTATACATGTTTCCTTTTGTTTATCTGTTTCAGGAACTGCTGACCGCTAAGTTTTGGACTCCGTGATGGAAAATCCTGGTAATAAAAAAGTTTTTTTTAAACTGCAGTTTAAAATTTGCTGGCAAACAAAGAATTCTACTTGTGTAGAAAAACCAAGTTTAACAGAGTTTAAATATTGTACTTCGGAGTACAGTGACTGTACTGAGACTAATGTTATATATAGATAACTGTAGTATCATGATGACGGAAAGTGGTGAGTCAGAAACGCAGTGCTCTGCTTTGAGGGGTTGGCCCTTTGTGACGCTTTGTGCTGTTGACGCTGCAGCTATCTGATTGGCCCTCACCCAGAGGACACACCTGTAGGTAAGCAGAGCTGCCGGTTTTTCTCAGTACCACGCATGGCCTTGTGTGGGTTTCACCACTGACCTCGTTCATTTGACGACCTCAGTGTATCACGTATACACTCACATTGCTCAGAGGACCTTTGTTCCTGAAGTGTTGTTGTGCATTTGTGACATCTGTGGGAAACGCTTGGGATGGCTGTGCAGTCTGAATATGTCTGTGAGTAAACATGCTTTCTTTGTGTTGGATGTTCAAATTTGAAGGTTAAACATTTCAGTTTCAAGTGTTTTAATTTACTTTGGAATGTGTTCTAAACTGTAGTTTGCTTTCTTGTCCTTTGTTGACATTATTATTTATACACTTATACTTTGGTCAATGCCAAGGCAGAAGAGGGCATAGCTCCACGAGTACTCTACTGACAATCAGGCCATGGCAGGAAGAGATTAAGTAAGCTTGATCTACTCATCCCTTCCATGCCAAGCAGTAAAAATAAACTGGACTTCCTCCTCAGCGATTTTCTAATAGTGATATGTTTCTCTGGCGAAGCCTCACATGTTCATGTATTTTGATCAGAAAGGGTAAAGTCCTCCAGCATGTTGGCTCACATGATTTTAGTTGTATGTTTTGGGGATTGTCATGATGACTTAATGTAACAGCACTTTTCTGAGTCATCAAGTTGTTGTTCTGGTTTCTGTGAGGCCTTGTGTTCTCAGGTTTGTTTCAAAGCCTGGGAAATGTTTTTGTCTCCATCTGCTGCTTCTCTTTCGAAAGAATGAAAAGAGGTTTCAATGAGTCATGAGTTAGAAGTTGTCAACCCTATTTATTAAACAGTGATTTTCAAGGACTGTTGCCCTGATTATTGACCTTGTACCAAAAAGCAGATGTGTGGTCTTGCATTCCACACATTCCTGTGTCAGTTGCTCTTCTGTGCTGTAGCTTTAATTGGACTGTAGAGGGAGCAACATATACGTGATGTGAGCTCCTTATGATGTTTTCTATGTCAGAAAACACAGGGATAGTCAGGTCCCTCTTTCGTTACCGAACACTCTTCTTGTTTTGACCTTTTTTAACCACATAAGTTTAGGGCCAAATCTATGTCTAATATTGAACCGCAATAGCAATATCATGCTGTTGTTGATCGAATCTTATTGAAAGACAACTATCTCTTGTCCCCTCATCTGTGAAGACAATGCATCATATACATGGTGGTACTCTGCATTTCCTGCCCTCTGAGAGGACAAGTTTAACTTTCTAGAAACCACGTTTTCTCTGATTAGCAGTAGAATTTTTTTTTTTACTTTTTCCTACTTTCTAATTTTAAATCTAACATGCAAGTCTGACTCCCACACTCTGATTACATTTAACAAAATAACATAGTGCTCTGCTCTAATAGAAATATTCAGACACAGAGTCCTTGTCTCTGTCCAGCATGGGCATTTGGATATTCGGATAGTCATATCTAATTTAACTTTTTTGGGGACTCTGGACTCTAATAAGGCTTTTAAGTGTCCACGTGCATTTCATAGTTTAAAGGGACAATCCCAAGAGAGTCACAGGACACCTCCATGTGTCACTTCCTCTTCTCTGGCACTGAGCTCCACCTTGGTCCCGGCTCACCTTCCACTTCTCATGTTACCTCACTCGACAGAGCCCACCCCTTGGCCTTCAGGGAGCACTGTCAGTCTGGGAAATGTTGCTAGTGGGGGGCCCCACTGCATCGCAAATCCCTCAAGGCTTGATGGGTGGACCTGCCAAACCTCAAAGCTCGCCTACTGCGAACTTTGCCCCTGAAAAATCTACTCTCAGGAATGAAAGGCATTCGAGACTGCCGGATTACCTTTTTGGCGTACCTTATTTATGAAGTCAGAGCTCCAAGAAGGGAGGGACCAAGAACTGAGTGGGTGAGTGTGCTTGTGTTTTAAAGCGAAAGAAGGAGGGAGTACTGGAGGGAGAGACCAAATAACATAATTGGCAGGGAGGGGGAGTCAGGAAAGGCAAAGACGACACAAGTGAGCAGTCAAAACAGTTCTTGAGTTAGAGGAGCTCCATGTCTAGTTGCAGAACAGTGTGGTGGCTTTAATTTTTTCTCTCCTGCCACTGGCCTCCGGAGAGGCAGGGCCAGGCAGGCCATTTGGGACAGAAGCTGTAGCATGGGACAAAGTGCTAGCAGTGAGACAGTGGCACAGCAACCAGCCCAGCACAACACGGGTGAGTCCGAGGCCAGAGGCTTAGCACTGCACGATATCAGTAACTTTGATAGATTTTAGATGTCTGGCGAGCATGTTTGCATTTATTTAGAATGGAAAGTATAGTGTATACATGTTTATGAACAGGTGTTTTGTGAACCAGAGAGAAACTGGATAGAGGCAGGTATAGACAGGTGTAGAAGAATGTTTGTAGATGGAATGTGGTGATTGTGAAATCTACAAACCACACAAACTCCTCTCTGTCTGCATGCTGTGCCCCATCTCCCTATATAAAAAAAAAAAACCAAACAGATTTGAGGGTACAAGGCACCAACTTACAACAGCTCTCCTCCTGTTGATCTACATTTTTAACTTCAGTCACTTCTCAAGTTAGTTCCATAGGTACACAGTTTGCCAATAGGCCCCCAACTGTCTGGTTAAGCAACCGTGGTAATAACAGTTCAAACACATCAGAACCTGTTTTTGCTGTCAAAAGAAGGATCCTGTCACAAGTTGTATTTGCAAGTTTAATAACACAGCTTGCAGCTATTGGAATCCAGCATCTGTGTAACGCAGGCCACCCGTTTGTCTGTCAGCTCTTTCCTGCTTAATATCACAGACTGTAATTTCGTCGTAGCCTTCGTTATGTTAACTAGAACCAATGACTTAATTTGAAATTTGTTGGATCAACATTTGCTTTATATTTTTACTGTCGGGATTCCCTACAAACACTTTCCTACACGAGACAAGTAACATAAGGACATCCTCTTTGTTACATATTTGCTCTCTGTGCAAGATGTATTTTTAACCCCTGGTGTGAAGTTCTTTGTGGCTGCTGGCAACATATCATGTGACTGGCATGAGTCATATGGACAGCTTGACCAGAGGAGTGCAGGGTTATTGCATTAGTGTCAGCTGGGTAGTGCAGCTTTCATGCTTTTATTAGTTCCTTGAGTTTGAATGGCTCCTGTAAATGGAACATTTATGGAACATTTATAGGAGTCCATTTTGTTCAGTGTCGCAGGTTCACTGTTTAAATTCAGTTTATAAATGCAGATCTGTAGTGTTTGTGTTAGTGTTAGGTCTTTTTCCTCTCAACTGTCTTTAATTCTATGGTTGTTCTGTGAAAAGCTGCCATCTCGGTTTGTTGTGTTCCACTGTAAAACAAAGTCACTCACCACATCACACTTGGATTCTGTTGCAGCTAAACCACATCAGTATTATCCCAGTTCACTGCCAATCTGACCCCGCCCAGTTTTATACCCACTGGTGTCCGGGTTATGTGTCAGGAATAGCTGCGAGGGCCAGTGTACCGCACAGAGTTCACTGACCTTTGCATGCATTTCACACACTTCTTCAACAGCCTGCTTCTCTTCACAAAGTGTGTCAACAAAGTAATGTAAACATTTTATGGAGAGACTTTTGCATGGAAAGAATGTGATGCAGAGGTTGTCAACACAGGGTGGATGCTAATTAAACTGTACTTTACCATTGATGTTTTGGTTATTATTATTATCAAACATTTGTTTTCATGATAGATTTAAATTGTGGAGACAAAGATACACGAACAAAGTTCAATGCTGAACAGTACACTTTTCTGTTCCATTATATGACACAACTAAGTGTATCATTGCAACAGTTTGTCATTCATCCACTATTTCCTTTATGTGTTGAATTGAACATATTGTTAATAGTGACCATGATATTACACATATTTGGGATAATCCATTAGCAGTTAGCATTTTCTGACAGATATATATATTCTTTGTAAATGTTGAAGTTATTCAGTTTCAAAATGTTTATTTAGTGCTGCAACAATTAGTTTGTTTCTGTTAATGACTTACAAACTTAGTTTGTACAAAGGCTGTTTGAACAGTGTTTCTTCACCCTGTACTGTTCTCCAGCAAGTAGCACTGTATATTAGGGCTGTCAATTTTTCGAAACCATATGCTTAAAATAAGTTGGAAAAACATGCAATACATTAGAATGAATTAGAATTCACTGACTCATTTCAGTGTCAAGCTAGGAGGTGAAACTACCCCCTCCCCCGATGGCTTTGGGATGTCTAACTGTGATGTCACACATTGCTGTATGTTAATGTGGGCATTGACCACCCCTAGTGCCCCTAATACAAAGATTAAAATTTGGGTAACCCAGATTTGTAAAAGGTTTTGCTGTTTATCAAGTGTTTGTCATTCTCTGCACATCAGGACAAGTTTAGCACAACAACCTCCATTCAGACTCAAAACAAATATTATCGTGATATTTGTTGCAGCAGACTCGTTATATAAGTGCAATGGGAGAGGCTTACTGTAAACAACATAAAGTCTATCCAATCTGACATATGGAAAACTACTCGTATACTCACAGAATGTGGTCTGATTGTGGTTGTCCACTGTCCACATGAAACATATTTATCTCAACTGTAAGGAAACGGAAGCCACAAAAAATTGTTAGGGACCGAACCAATGTCTGCAGAGCTACGTTTTTGTCAGCTCCTATAATCCTGATTGATCGAATTCAAGTAGGGGGTTAATAGGTCATGCATCAATCATTAATACTACCATTCAATACAGAAAAAAAAAATTTCCACCAGAGGAGCCTGATGTCCTGAGCTTTCTTCTATGACTCTTAAATATTGGCTCCATTTATCTGCGACCTTGAGAAACTCATCTACAGGATATGTGCTTTATGGGGATTAGAAAAAGGTAACAATCCCTTTTAAATCCCTCGGTGTAATATGTGTGTGACAAACCTGCAGAAACTAATACCACCCCCAAGTTTAATTTAGACCTGCCATCAAGTTATTAGTTAAAGCTAATACTAAAAATGAGAAGCTGCAGTGCTTATTATTTGTGCTAAACCTGAATGCTACCTTTATGCTCTACACTCACTTGTATGTTGCACAATGTTGTGTAACTGCTGTCATACGACTCACTGCGTAAGAGTTATAATGCTGTTTTCACACCCAGTTATTGCTGTCCTTGCATTTTCCATAGTATAAGAATAACTTTTGACTCAAGGTTTCTGTTTTCTAAACAGTTCCGTTTTTTCATTTCGTACACATATAAAAAAAATTAGATGTTACATGATCCTATTTGTCTCACCACCATGCAAAAAATCACATTAATTCACACCATGTTGTGAATAATGCCAGAAGTGACTGCAATAATTTCACTGTTTGTGTCATGTGACAGCTGACACAGTGAAGCGGACAGTCAGAATGGAATTTGGACCAACGTTTTGATGTTTGGTCCTTTAGTGTGACAGATTAATAAAGCAGCAGCACTGCCCTGTTAATGGACATGGATAGACTATTGTTGCAAGAAAAGATGGATGAGTTTGTTTTTGGGCATTGACACTAGTCATGCACTGAAACAGGAGAAGTCTACTGTTGGATGTAGTAGCAGGCAGCTGTGCAGAATATGAGGGTTTGTTAATACAATGTATCAGCTACGTTCACATAAACACAATTAACTGCTGTAGAAAATGATGTGTGTATTGAATGCTGACGTGCATCATTTTTGAAATGTTGTTCTGTCACAGGTTTTTAAACACGTGTATCTGATGTGTGATTGTACTGAAAGAGAGTGTGGTGACTGCTTTGGCCTTCAGGCTACTCACAGATCAAACAAACTTGACAAAAACAAAGTCATTTTAGTTTTCTTTTAAGTAATATTTTGCAGTGATAGAAATGCAGCATGAAGGTCATTGTCAAATCAGCGTGAAAAGCTTTTGTTTATCTGCAGTATTGGTGTCAATAAAAAAACATGTTCACCTGTGATCTTCTTTGTCACCATGCCATATTCATGCAGATGATGAGGTAGACCTGCAACACGGCACAACAGGGGGCGAAGAAGCGAACTCTGGTGGGGGAACACCTCCGACCAAACGCAAAGGCAAATTCTCTAAGATGGGAAGAATCTTCAAACCGTGGAAATGGAGGAAGAAGAAGCCAAGTGAGAAGTTCACTGAAACGTCTATAGGTATGAGAGGGTGGTATATTTTCACTGGTTGTTCTCATTGCAATATACTTATTTTAAATGTTTCCTTTTTTTACAGCTTTGGAAAGAAAGATTTCTGTTAGAAAAAGTCGCCAAGAGCTGATTGCAAGAGGGCTTCTAAAAGACATCCCAGAAAATGGTATGTAGGGGATAATAGTTTAATCTTAAAAACCATTCTATGAGTGAAGTGGCTCCTTCTTTAATGATAGTTATTTCACTGTTTGTGTCTTTATGTACAGTGAGCAACAATGTGATTCACTCCAAAGCTCCGCCAGTGAAAAATGGGCACCCTGTGTCAAAGGACGTGGACAGGGTGTCGGAAGCTGGTGCTCGAGTGTCTCGTGGGGAGTCTGACATGAAGGGGAATCACCTCAGGCTGCCCCAGGGAGATGAACGTCGAAGCAGAGCCCCGTCTGATGCCTCCCGAAGTAACCGAGCACCTCTGGATGTGGACACTCATGCACGGATGACTGTGGACACAGATAGACGAAGCCGTCTGCCATCAGATGTTGATAAGAGAGGAGGATCATTATCCAGAGGAGCTCCTCAAGATGATAGATACCGCAGAGAAGAGAGGAGAGATGGAAAAGATGATAGAGAAGAACGGGGAAGGAAGGACAGGGAAGACATAGAGAGAAAGGACAGAGATAACAGAGATAAGCAAGACCGGAGGGATGACCGTGAGAGGAGAGACGAAAGGAGGGATCGGGATGAGAGGGAAAGGAAAGATCGGGATGAGAGGGAAAGGAAGGATCGGGATGAGAGGGAAAGGAAGGATCGGGATGAGAGGGAAAGGAAGGATCGGGATGAGAGGGAAAGGAAGGATCGAGATGAGAGGGAACGGAAGGATCGGGATGAAAGGGAACGGAGGGACCAAGACGAGAGGGAACGGAGAGATAGGGATGAGTGGGAACGGAGGGACCGGGAGGAGAGGGAACGGAGAGATCGGGACGAGAGGGAACGGACTGACCACGATGAGAGAGAAAGGAGGGATCACAGAGACAAGAGAGAAGATAGGGATCGGCGGCCTGAGAAGGAAAAGCGAGAGAACCGAGGCGAAAGGAAAGATGATAGAGAAGACAAGGGTAGGAAAGATGTGCGGGGAGAAAGAGATGATAGAGATAGAAAAGATGACAGAGACCGACGGGAAGACAAAGATAGAAGAGAGGACAGGGACAGATGGGATGACTGGGCTAAAAGAAATGAAAAAGAGCGACGAGATGAGCGGGAAAAGAGGGAGGAGAGGAGAGACAAGCTGGATGACTTGCGACCTTTAGTTAGGCCGGTCTCTGAGATGAACCTGCGGCCTGTTCTACAGAAGAGCTCGTCAGAGGACAAGAAGAAACCTCGTCCTGCCTCAGAGTCTGAACGGAGCAGCACACTGCCCAGATACAGCCCAGCCACAGAATTCAGAGAGCGCTCAGGTAACGTCTCCCCCTTAACTCCATTCAGCACTGCAGTTATTATTCAGAAAGTTCGAGTGAGAAAGTCGATGCTTTGTCTGAGTGGGAGCCTATCGAAGGAAACCATGAAAAATCCTGCAGCCATCACGTTGTCTTGGCTCGCTGTGTGACGCAATTGATTCTGATGTTTCACAACAGGATGAAAAGTGGATAAGGCACACAAATCAGGCAGAATTTTTTGTCCAGCTCTTATCGAGAGAACCTCATAGACAACAATTAATTTTCTCGGGCTCCTTTGTTTATCAGTGTTAACTGTTGAGATGATAAGCAGTGATTTGAAGTTTTGAATCAGTCAATAGAATGTACTCAACAACATACATAGATTACAGCTGATTACAGTTTTGTCAAAAGAGCCTTCTAGATCCACTTTAAAACATTTTTAAAACTGCTGCTGCCTGTCGCCTCGATGCTGAGATTTCATTAACTACTGCATTCATTATTCACTAGTGTTGGAGTCAGTGAGTGAGTGTTTTGCTCTGTGGTGTGTAAACCAGTCTCCTGATGGTGCTGTCAAGGCATATAGAGTAAATGATTAAACTGTTGGTCTGACAGGGGTAATGCAGCTGGAACAGTAAAAATCAGGCTTTCAAATATTTAGGCGAGCATGAAAAGAGCGAAGAAGAAATCATCGGGACTCCTCTGTGCTTCTTTGATCCGTCTCCATGTCTGATTCTTGTTACTTCTCTTATCCTGTCTTTCATAAAGCCTCTTAAAGATTTGTTTGTTTTATATCAAGGTTTTCCCGCTTGTTCTCAGTGTTTGGCTGTATGTGAGGAGCCTTTTATACTTTTTATAAGAAACTGTAGAACTCTTCTCGTTACCTCTGTTAATGTCTCTGTTTGTGAATTTGTGCTTGTGGGTGTGTGTCCCCTCTGTAGAGTCTGCCGTTGTCCGCTCCACCCCTGACCCTCATTCAGCACAAGACTCACAGCAGGACCCTGCCCCACCCCGGCACGCTCTGCTTCCCCCAAAATCCCTCACCACTTCTCTGACTGAGACTGGCAGGAGTTCTACCCCTTCCTCCTCTTCATCCTCCTCCTCTTCTTCAACCTCCTCTTCTGCTCCTGTAGCTGTAGCTGTAGCTGTGGCTAAACCGCCAAGGACTGTCTCCCTAATAGTCGATGACCCATCTCGACCCTCCCTCGCTGCTCCCTCCTCAGCTGATTCTGACACACCACCCCCTGTCCCTCCCCATGCCAAGCAGCCTCCCGTCCCGCCACCCAAACCCACCAACCGAAACAGCAACGCTGCACTGCTCGGTGAGTTTGTTAGTATCTGCTTCTGCAGTTTTAGTAGCTGGTTTTATCTTTGTGTACTTTTCTTTGTGCTATTACTCAAAGAAGCTCTGCAGGAATTTGATAAGGGTGGAGACTGTACTCAACGTTGCTGTTACAGTGTGTCTCAGAACTGTAAAAGTGTATTGCATACTCGGACTGACACTTGCACTTCACACGCGCACAACTGTGTATTATTTCAAACATACTAATAATGTTTATTGTGAACATAGTGGAAAAGTAACACAACTAAGTAAAAATAGGTTCTACTACACAAGTTAGTTATACCATAGAGTAAAGATATATTATAAAATGCATCCAAGCATCCCAGAACACGTGGAAGTGAATCCATTTCACAGGAACTTGGATTTCATTTTAGTAGCCAAAGGTCAAGGTAACATATTTTAGTTTTTTCCTGAACTTGATATCAGCTTGAGGGAACGTCTTTCACTTGGTCTCAAATATGAACTGATTAGATTTTGGTGACTGGAAGTCAAAGGTTAAGGTCACAGTGCCCTCACGTTTCTGTGAAAGTGATATTTCAGGACTGCCAGTAGGGAATTTCATTACATGTGGCACAATTCACTTTGACTCATGGATGACCTGATTAGAATTTGGTTGTCAAAGGTCACTGTGACCTCTCACACACACATTTTGCCTTGTGAATGTAATATCTCGGGATAATCTCAATGGAATTCTTTCAAATGTGGCAAACATGTTGACTTGGATTCACTGATTAGATTTTAGAGGTCAAAGGTCACAATGACCTTATATGAATCTGGGAAAAAGTGGAAATATGTAGATTGAAACTGCACTGGTTGGTTCAACCGTAGTGCTGGATGAACCATCACACTCTGAGACAGTGTGTTTGATTGCAGTCAACATGGTTAAGATGTTGTTTATGAGGAGATTGTAAGACTGAAGACATTGATTTATTCAGAGTTGTATTACATTATACAAGATATGTCAAGCTAGTGCTACAGGAGCAGAGTAGCAGTGTATCTATGGCCTCAGCCCTGAAATGTTCTTGTTGATCAGAAGCTCATTCAAATAAAACAACGTTTGTACAGTGTCAGTTAGGATTTGGATTTACATGGTATGTTAAATGGTATAACGTGGTGTTAAGATGCTACTTTGTGTTTGTTTTTCCATTATTATTTTTGACAGTTTATTGTGTGGTTGGTGTGTGGAATACGGAAGTGAGTAAGAGTCTTGATGGTGGAGCAAGATATTTTTAAAGTATAAAAAAAAATAACTCTGATTCGCCGATGGAGGAAAGTGAGTGAAAGCTAGTAATTAATAATAGATATAATATGTTTTGATGGTTTTCATCATATTTAGTTCAGTAAGTATTTTTCCCTGCACTGATGACTGAGTTTTATTCTTCATGATGAATTTTCAAACACATACCCTCCAATAAGAAATCTATCATAATATATAAAATCTTCTACATGACACTAATAAAAAACTAGTGTTGTAGCACTGCTAGAATTATTTTTCCATTTAGTTTAAAGTTGTCATTTGTGCTGCTGCTTGGTGTGATTTCTATCAGCTTTATATTTTTAAAATAAAACACATAGGACATTTTCAAGGCTTGTAAATATCCTCTCCTGAATCTCTCTGTGAGATGAGTCTGTCAGTGAGTCAGCCGCCCATTGCTTTGTAGGTGTTTTCCAACATGTTGTGTGCATAACCACCATTCTCTGGGGAGGGAAACTGCACCAGCTTATCTCTGCATCATTTGTGCAACTCCAGCACTTCTCTGGAAGGCAGATAGAAACTGATTGGCTTTTCCTATTTCATATCCTTTGTCCCAGCATGCCACAGCTGCTCTCGGTTACAGCCCATCCAAGTTTCTTCTGTTTTAAACATTGTCTGTTGCAGTAGAAGTAGTGACTACATTTCATTTGTAACTGCTACAGATGTGTGTTTTTACAGTACCGTATTGACACTCTGAGTTTACAGTGTTAATGTGTTGGACAGTGTCTGTTTAAGTGTATGCAACTTTGGAAATAGTTTACATGTATTCAAATCAGGGGGCCTTGATTATGGCAAAAATCTTGATTATTTTGATAATTTAATTTAGTTAAATTATTATTTAACATGATAACTCATTTGAACTGCTCTTCACACAAACTGACAATAACATGTATCAAGTTATTCCTAGATGATGAATCCTGATATCCTGGCTGTGCCCGTCATGTTACGACTTGTTTTGTGTTTGGCAGGTGTTGGCATTTTTTTTTTTTTCAATGTGTTAAAATACACGTCTCATAAACTCTAGAGCAAATCAAACAAACACAAAGTAGACTTAAAGTTCTGTTCATGACCAAGTAGTGCTGATGCTTATTGCTAACGTGTAAAGTGAGCACAGGTTATTTTATTATAGATCCCTTTAATTGGGTTTTTATAATTGTAGCCAGGATACATACTAAGTGAAGCACTTTACAATGTTAAAGTCAGCTTTTCATTGGAGAAACTTCATAAGGTGACAGCTTTGCTCAATCAAACTCAGTTTGGAATTTCTACATGGGAGTTTCTTGTTACTCACTACATTTATGCACCAGTATCAAAATATCTGCAGTCAGCATATATCAACAGTTTAAAGAGTTTAAACAGTTTTAAAACAATGGATGAGCTGGAATTTGAGAAAACTCACTCATGATGAAAGTATTTGTCAGTGGGAAGTACCACTTTGTGTAAACAGGAGGATTCACTAAAGCATTTTTTATCTTGTGCTTAGAAACTTGAGCTATTGCTCTACAGAGGTTGTTTATCATCTATGAATGGATGCACACTCTGCGTCTGGATAGTGTAAAACCCAGACAAACATTATCCCTCCCATATTCCCTCCCAGCTTGGAATGTAAACCCAGCCCCATCCCTGACATCTCCACTCATTTTTGCCAGCTTCCTCATTGAACAGGGGTTCTAAGGCCAGGCAGCCTTGTTACTGGACCAGCTGGAGACGTCAGAGTGAGCTTGGCCTCTACCTCTCTCTACCTGTGTACCTGCGGCAAAGCGATGCAGGGACCTGCTCAGGTACCCAGCAGGGGCGCAAGATCTCAATCCATCTTAGTGAAGTCTGTAGAGCGGTGGTACAGGTCCAACTGCTTCAGTGCAGATGCAACTCTCCACCTCCGGTTTAACAACAGCACTTCATCGCATGCGTATTGCAGCCATTGAAGCTGGCAGCTCATCTAACCTAACATTGCATGGGAACTGGATGGATATTTAATGTACAGGAGTGCATTGGATGTGTTTTCTGATCACTTTGAATGTTCATGTAATGCTGTTGATACAGTTGTTTGTTAATCTGCCTCCACTGACTCAGCATAAAGCTCGGCTGCAACAGGACTGTTACTTTTTCTCACTCACTAAAACCTTTGACAATTTGCTTTTGTGCATATTTTAAATAACACTAACTTCACCCTTTACAGAGTGAATGTGCATCTTCCCATTCTGACAGCAGGTAATGTTTGTGACTATCAATTTATATCACCAGTACTGATTATGTTCTTGGCTGGTTTATTCACAGCCGAGCTTTCTCAGCCTGGCAGCGGCATCATCATTGTTCCAGCACATGCAAAGCGCTCTCCACCAACTCCACCAAAGAGGATGACCCCTGTCACCAAGCGCCACTCTGTGGATCCTTCCCCTCCTGCTCAGGTCACTGAGTCTGCAACCGATCCAGCTGCTGCCCCTGGACAGGCGCACCCTGCTGTCCCCAAAGGGTATAACAGTGAGGAGAAAACGAGTGCAGCAGCTCCTCAGACTGCCACTGACCCGCTGCCTTCACCGCCGTCCCACATACCTCCATCACCTCCCAGGTCTCACTCGCACCAGACGCCCGGCACCACCTCCTCTGGCCCTGTGCCCACCATACAAGGAGATCCACCCAGCCCGACCACAGAGCCGCCCAGCCATCTTCCAGCCATTCCCCTGCACATCCTCATCAAGAGAGCCCTGGCCAGCCCTGGCCCAGCTCAGCCCAACCCGGACGGTTCTCAGAGAGCCCACTCACTACTGTTCGATTCTCCTCCAGAGTTCCTTACCGAGATGGGGGAAAACTCGAGGTATTCACTACCCATCACCATCGAACCTCTCAGGCTGTAAGTGTTCCATTTACTGTACATACATTGTGCACCTAGTCAAAGATGTTGTTTTCATTTGAGCACCACAAACTTAATCCTCCAGAAGAAATCACACAGCTTTTAAATTTCTGTTCCTAGATCATTATTACTTGATGGTTTATCTTAATTAAAACTGATGTCAATGCAAGGAGCAAGAATTTCATCCAGCATACACAGCCTCCAATTTGATGATTAAAGAATAGTTGCTTTCTTATTCAGGCCTCACAATACAGAAGAGAATCATCTGCAACAAAGTGAAAATAAATCCTGTGACTTAGGCACAGAGTCCTAGGGTTCTCCATATTTTAAGTTTATATATTATATTTTAGTTTGCTGATGTAGTGTTATTTTAGCTGCCGTTCTTATTTAGTGTAGAAAGCTTCCAGTTCTATTCTCTAATCTCCTGCAGCCTGGCCTCAGATCAGGTGTTTCTTTAGTAAAATGAAAATGGGTCCAGTTGTCTAGTTGTGTTAATTGTCACTAGTACATTTTTCAGCATCATCATAGATAGCCTAGTTTGGATTTGAGAATTTTTTACAAAAGCTGTGACCAAACCTCAGATCTAACAACCGGAAATAAGCCTTCAGCACTGTTAAAGCTGCCGTGTTTCTGTTTAGACCTGAAGACGATGACTTTGATATGGAGGAGGAGCTGCGGAAGGTTCAGCCCCAGAGGCCTCCCCGCCAGCCTGACCTCGAGCCCCGCAGCCGGAGGGGTTTGATTGGGGACCCCAGAGTCAGTGTCATCCCTGAGGACGGCGGCCACGGGGACAGCGAGGAGTCTGACTCTGATGGCCCCATCCTGTACCGAGATGACGACGATGATGATGATGATGACGACGATGAGGAGGGCCCTCCAAGTAAGTTTTGGCTGTCTTGTACTGCTGCCTTAGTTCTATGGGAGAGAAACAGAAAAGTGCTGTAGTTAAGAATACCCCTCAACCTTCAGAATGTGAAAACTACCTGAAAATAACTGATCACCTCTTTCAGTTTGATCACAGCATCAGGTCACCTTCAGATTATACCTGTAATCAAGTGGAGGAAATGTTGCCTATTTATCATAAAACTGGCTACATTAATTTTCATCCCAACAATTTGAGGAATTCATGCTTTTATTTGTCTTTCTAAAAGCACTGCTTACTGATCATATAATATGCACTGTTACTTTAAAGTGTATTCAGCATCATCTTCAGCAACACAGGATGCAAAACTTTAGAAGGTCTCTCTGCGTCTGTGTGCATGTCCAGTACCTTCTAGCAAGCCTGTATGTGTAAGTATGTGTCATGTGTGTAACAGGTGGGCTGCTGAGTCGTGTGAAGAGGAAGGACACGTTAGCCCTGAAGCTGGAGAGACAAGAGCGAGAGGAGAGGGATTCTCAGGAGAACCATGACAGCAGGAGTTGGCAAAACATGGAGCAGTGGATGGCAGTGAGGAACAAGATCAGCAGTACGCTGACAAGGTAAAGGACTTGCATCATGTCAGCTGACTGATGAACATGATAATGATGCACAGTAGATCTCTATCATAAGATTGAATGTAGAAAGCCGTCTGATGATTAAAAACTGTCACAGAGCTGGAAGGATTACGTCCATTATTTCAAATGTAATTCATATGTTTGAGAGGCTCTCCATGGCTCTTCCATCCATCTCTGAAAATGGTTAATCAACAGTGTTCTCCATCTTCAGGCGCCTGAGTCAGAGACCGAGTGCAGAGGAGCTGGAGCAGAGGAACATTCTTCAAGGTGAGAGTCTCACTCCATCCATGCCTCACCTTTTCTTTCAGGTGTGGTTATTTCAGTTTGATTCTTCAACACCAGAAGGTGAAAAAGATAATTCTCATCCTTTGCTGAACTCAATCATCTGCATGAGTCATTTGTTCAGTGGATAGCGTTTTCTTTTTTCAACTTCTTCTTGCCTCAGGCATATTCAGTAAACACGCAGCAGTGTTTTACAATGTTGGTAGGGAATCCAGGTTATTGAGATAATGTCTGCAATAAATACAACTGAAACTCAATGGACCAGATGTGTAAACCATGTTCTAATACACCCCCCACACAGTATGGTATTTATAAAGATGATTTCCGTGCTTACTTTAAACCAGACATTTATGTATTTTTAGAGGAGGTTAAAGGGTTAAATTCACTCATTATCTACTCACCACTGTGCCAATGGAGGTAAACTTTGTTGCAGCAGAATCCAATACAATTGAAGTCAATGGTGAGTCCTTCTTCATACTTACTAAAACAAAAGAAAAAACATAACATGTCTCCATACTACTGGTAGTAGTAGTGTCTGCAAGCCCCAACTTTCATATTCGACTCTAAACCGCATCTTTTTTTACCCTGTTTTTAGCATAAAAGTCCACCGATATCTTCCTATGAGGTGTAGTCACGGACCGCCTGACGTGCTAACGTCCGCTAGGTAATCCACGGTGGATTTTTAGGCTAAAAACAAGGTATAAATAACGTTTTTACGAGTCGAATATGAAAGTTGGGGCTTGCAGACACTTGGATGACACCACACGAGCAGTATGGAGGCATGCTATGTATTTTCTGTTTTATTACGTCTGAAGGACTCACCATTGACTTCAATGGTATTGGATACTGCTGTTTACCCCTGAGACTTGAGAAGTGTTTTGTGGACTCAAACACTTCACCCACCCCTCCATCGGCATAGTGGTGAGTAGATAATGAGTGCATTTACATTTTTCTCAGAACTATCTCTTTGCAATGATATATAGTTTATTTTTTTTCCAGTCTCCTCACAGAATAGTTCAAATTACAGTTATCAAATGCACATTGCAAATGTATTATTCTTTTTGTTGATATGCATTTGGTGCATTCCCTTGTTTCCTTGCTTGATCTTTTCTTTTCATCGTTTTTATGTGAGACACATTGATCCTATGAAGAGAGAAAAGCTGCATTGTAGCAGATTTAGCTGGTGCAGTGTCTATCTCCGGTCCCTGGGCAGGTATAAACAAACAGTAATACAACTATTGCAGTTGGTCGGGTTTGATATTAGTGCTATAAACTATGTCCCTGACATTAATGAAAGTGACTGAGATAAAGGATCACTGCCAGTGATCATACATATGTGTGATCAGTGAGACGCTGACATAACACAAGGCTGTAAAACTGCAGCTTTCTGTATTGACCAAGTTCAGGACAGCTGCGTGAGGACATCACCAATCTGACTCGGTAAACCTCAGCAAATCATTTGGTAACCATGGTAACATGGCCGCACATCAGGACACGAGAACATGGCGTTTCCTGATCGGACAGTCAGAAGCATTGTTTTGTGTAGCACACTGTGTAGTTGGTGATCTATTGTGACATAGATATCCAACAGTAATACATAATACGTCTCAGAATCTGTCAACAGGTTTTGATCCAGGATTCATTCCACCACACTGTATTTCGCCTGTCCTCAAATGACTGGACCAAGATGAATCTTTGTACTTGCGCTAAAACAATGCAGCACCTTGTGCAGAGCGAGGCAGTGATTTATAGATCCCTGTTACCGCAGAATGCCAACGGCAGCTTGGATGAAATGTACCTGACTGGCTGAAGTGTTCACTCCTCTCCCACGGAATGTGTTTCCTCTTACAGCTAAGAACGAAGCAGATCGTCGATTAGAGAGATGCGAGATCAAAAGGCGGCTCACCAGAAAGGTCAGGAAGAGACGTTATCATACATTTGACAATATATCTGGGTTGTCATCATAGTATTTTGAGCACTTGGCTTCAATAATTGTCCATTCTTTCACCAGCTGTCCCAGAGACCCACAGTGGCCGAACTCCAGGCGAGGAAGATCCTGCGTTTCCACGAGTATGTTGAGTGCACCCACGCCCATGACTACGACCGGAGAGCAGATAAACCGTGGACCAAACTTACACCTGCTGACAAGGTAAGACTCAACACATTCTCATCTACTCACACAAATAAACCCAACATTTTTTTTCTTGGGCATTTTTATGCCTTTTTTGTGAAGGGACAGTGAAGACAGCCACTTGTATTTCAGGCAGTGAGAATCCCTGGACATTCACTTTTATCAAGTGAATGACCTGGTCCAGGGATGCTTGAAAACATCAATTTCATAAATCCTGTCTGTTTGTCTGGTTTGGTAAGAGTGGAAAAATAACTATAAAGCAGAGCTTTGATCACATGCTTTCTTTCTTCCTTTGTGTTGTGCTATTAACGGTTGAAGCCGATCCTGCTGAAGTGCTCTTTCTTTCATGTCTCCTCTCAGGCTGCCATCCGCAAGGAGCTCAATGAATTCAAGAGTTCGGAGATGGAGGTTCACGAAGAAAGCAAGATCTATACGCGGTCAGCCTCATACACAGCAACACATAAATAATTCACCTCAACCGTTTTCTAACTTTATTCAGCAGTCTCATCCATATTTTATAAGCTTTTTTTCTCTCTTTTGAAGATTTGCTTTATTCCCAGCTCTAAATATCTAGAATAACCTCTTGACCTTTTTCTTCCTTTTCCCTCCAGGTTCCATCGGCCTTAGCTGATCATAGTCAAACACTCCGACTGGGAGTAGAGAGGCGGAACAGGCCCCTGTCCACACAATGAACAGAACTTGTGGCCCACTTGGTTCATTTTTTTAACTGATTGCCTGCTAACCTGCTTCAGCTGATAAACTGGAACCACAGGGAAAGACGCCACGATCAGTTTGACCATGGCTGGTTCTCAAATTCTTTGACTGTGGAATTCAGGACAGGAGGAGTTTGGCGTCTGGTGCCAACACTAAAGAGTGAGGAATCCCTCCCCCCTCCAGCTGCTGGGGGCTCCGAGAGGGTTCGATTGAAGCGAAGAGGGTAACTAATGGAGGGATATCACACAGCCTCCCTCAGGGGAAACCACTCTCACCATGCCTTTACCTGCCTTCATGACACTATCTCCTTGCAGAAGAGGAGGACTACGCACATACAGAGATGACTGTAGTTACCACTGAATGAATCTGCTGTCTGTTCAAACACTGTTTATGTATATATCTATACATGTTTGTTCTACAAATGTCCACCCACAGGTGCCACGTGGCATCGGCCTTACTCCTCACATGATCTAATGCACTCATGTAATGTAAAATTTAGACAAAATGTCCGACAGTGTGTTTATTTAAAACTCGGTCGTATCTGCTTTTGTGTAGACCCTCAGAGCATCGATTCCAACCTACTGACCTAAAGTGTACATTTTACCGTATTCTATTGATCATTTAAAAGATTGTAATAGAGCACATATCATCAAATTTATCTAAGGCACCTTGAGTTCCCTAATCGAGCATTCAAAAGTTATTCAAGCAGGAAAATGTACATATTTAGATTTTCCTAGTTTTATGGTACTTTATATATTTAAGTCTATAGATGGCTGCAATTGTATAGCTGAAACATGTAGATTTGATTAACTTTATATTGTATACCTACAGTAATGCTGACATGTTTTAATTGTAAAGTATTTTTCAAATGTAATTTCAAAGTAGTAATGGTACAAAACTTATTTTTTCCTTTTTTTGATACAGAGATCTTTAAACTTTTTGCAACCACACTGTATAAATGAAAAATCCTCTAGAAATTAAAAGAACCAGTGATTTTCATTTCAATGTGGTGTGATTCTTCTTCTTCTTATTATTATTATTCCATTTTTAATACATCTGTCTGCTGGAACAGTGATTTGGATTAAGTGATCATTTTAACAGCCTCTTAAAATGACCAGATGAGGGCAGTGTTATATAAATTCACACCATTCACCACCATTTCAGCCTGAATCCAAACATCTGGGGAAACTCATGATTAGAATAATTTCCTCCTCCTCTGAGTTCTAGGCCTCTGTGATTTACTGTCCTTATTGAAGAGTAATTTGTAAGTGCCCCTGACATTTCTGTGAACAAACGCACACACTGGTGTTTGTCTCTTTAACCTCCCCCATGCTGCTAATTAGCTGCATATTGACATAGAGACAGTCAACAGGGATGGAGCTCTCCTCCTCTGAGCCTGCACATAGAAACTGAATATCAAATGATTTAAACGCTGTCATTTTGTCAGCTTCCTTATTTCTCACTTAACGATACCATGTTGTGTGTAATCAATCTGTTTATAATCGATTATTATGTGTTGATGCCAAGATGCAAATATCTTTATAGAAACCTCAAAAGCCTGTTAACACACACCCACATTAAGGAGAGATATTATTTTAAGACTGTTATCCATCATCAGTATTCATTCAGCAACAAAATAACAAGGCCAAACACACAGCCAGAGTCGTAACAAAGCAAAAGTATAAATAATGAATAAAATGTCTGGCAGCAGATGGTGTGGACCCCACAGAGCCCTGATCTAAACATGGAGTCAGTCTGTGATCACGGGCGGAGACAGGCTGAGACACAACAAATACTGATTTTAATATTTTAATACTTTGCATGAAGTTAATAATGAATAGGAATAGAGATGCATAGAAAAATACACACACATACACACATTCCATTTGTAATATCTATATATATGGTATGTATTAGTGGAGTTTTGTGTAGCTGTAAGAAGTAGCACTGTCATACTCATGCTGCTTCAGGGTTATCTGCAGCAGCCACAGATAAGCCTGCTTTGCACCTTCATGTCTCTGTGACAGCAAACTGACATCAAAAAACAATTTCATCCTTTTGTTCAATTTAGAATATCAGTGATAACGTTTAAGAACAAACAGGAAAAGACTAATGAGGCAAATTAAGCGGATATCTCTTGTAACTAAGAAACTCAGAAAGACCGTTGGACTCAAATGACGATATTGTCCTCGTGTCCCCTGATTTCGAGCCACAGTGGATCAACCTGTGGGTGTGATTTGATGTCGCTGGCCATTCATAGGCTGCTTTAAATCTATCCTATAATTACATTAACTCTGAGCATGTGGGTTCTTATCAACAGATTGTCAGAAGACTTCCTCTCTAAATTGGTTAGCTAGTTAACACACTGTCAAGCTGTTTGCGCGGAGGAACATGTGCGACACTAATTAGAGCGGCTGACATCTTGGCAGTAGCCTAAATGTAGCTGGAGAGAGAGAACAGCAGTACGCTTTTATATTTCTCTCTCTGGTTTTTATCCACGTTAGCATAGACTACACATAAAGATGGATGACATCACTGTCCCCTGAATGTGTAGCCAAAGCGTCTCGACAGCCACCTGGTGGAAGTCTGCAATATAGGTCATAAACCCTGACACCTCAATGATAGTGGATGGGACATGCACAAAAATAAGTTCACCTTAAATACATTTCTCTCAAAGTCATTTCAGTTCAGTTCGTCACACTGATGTATTTCCAAGAGAACATTTCCCTCGTAAGTTTGTCTTTTTGTTGTTTGATGCTTTAAAAACGGGGTGAAACATGGTCATGATTGACAGCTGAGACTAAATTGTGATTGTCGAGTGCAGGACCTTGATGCGCAAGATAGCAGCGCTCATATCCTAGATGTGATGGCATCATTTCTGGAAAGAGAGAGGAAGTAGAGCCCCATCATCCATCTTTAATTACAGTCTTTGGTCAGCTGCAGGGGTTGGTGATGTCAGCTGGTTTGTTGGTGCCGTGACTTTAGTTCAGACTGGAATTCCTCAACAAAGCATCGGATGAATTACTGTGAAGATTTGTCATCAATATTCATGATCCGTGGAGGATGTATCCAAACGATTTTCTGACTTTCCTTCCAGCACCACCATGATGTTTACATTTGTGGTTTTGACTGAAATATTTCAGCTATCAGATCGATCGCCATGACATTTATGGCAGACATTCACGTCCCCTTCAGGATGTGTATCGACCCCTTTACTTTTCCTCAACCGCCATTGTTGTCCAGTAGCACATGTTAGCATGCCATCGGGATAGAAAGTATTATACAAACCAGAGACTAGAAAGGATTCAGGCTTAAAACAAAACAGGCCAGAATTATTCAGCTTATCTTTGTTCCTGACTGAAATACCTCAAAACCTGTTGGATGGATTGGCGCAGTATTTCGTACAGACATTCGTGGTTCCCTGATGATAAACACTACGGGTGATTGGTCTTTCCATCAAGCACCATCATTGGGGCAAAAATGTTATTTGTCCCGTGCTTTGATTCATGTACAAATGAATTTTCTATTAAGGACCAATTGACAAACACTTTAAAGTAAGATACTGAGCGCTTACCTTGTTTCATTTTGTCTGTTGGAGTAAACTGTTGGGATTTGACCAGAAAACAGAAAAATATTTTCCCTCTAATACACAAGAATCATAAATCTTGTTAATTAAAATTTACAATATTTTTGAGAGGAAAGTGATTTAAGTCCTGACTCCAGAAAGACGAATTAACATTTAAATGTTCATTATTTTCACAAAAGCACACCAAGGAATAATTTAACTTCTATCTTTACCAGAAAACCACAGAAATTTGAGTGAGAAAAACAAAATCAGCAAGAACCTCTGTTCTTAGAAACGGGCTCTGCATGAATGTATAATTAGCAATGAATCTCAAACGTTGACAGCAACTGTGTTTACTGGTGGTGGTGAGTTATTATGTTCTTGTGGAGGAAAAAAAAGAAAAGAATGAGCTGCACTCGACTTCATCCTGGATATGAGCATTTAATATTTATGACTGCACTGGAGCGATGAAAATTTTATGCCCAATTTGTCTTCCTGGAGATTAATCAATGCATTGAGCTTTTGCGGCAGGCAGCCACAATTAGATAACATACCTCTATTAGTGATATTTCAGTATCTCACCACCGCCTCATATCATGGGTTGGAGGGGGTTGGAGGGGGGTGGAGGGGTCAGGGGCTGCACGGAATCAATAGACTAGCCCTGGAGAGTCTCCTGTGGCTCTTCAGGGGAGGACTTTTAGGGGAAGGGGGCAGTTGTCATTGATGCAAGGCAGTGATTAAATTTCATGAATATAACAAAGGTAGATGGAGCAAAGACAGGGAGTGGAAAACCAGGGAGTGAAACTTCAAAAACATCAATTAAAAAAAACAGGTCGCCTCGGGCAGGGCTTGAGTTTTTCCCAGATAGCGTGTAGATCCCCCTGGAATATAATTGTCAGGAGGCGATGGATGAAAGAATCTCACTGGATCCTTCATGGCCCTTTGAAACTGTGTGATCCAACAACACTGATTTTACCTCAATTATTAATGTTCTGAAGCTCAAGTGAGACCTCAAATGCTTTCCAAGGTATCACTGTTTGTGTTTTGTGTCGAGAGACGCTCGACTCGTGTCATAAAAGATAATTGTCAAGAGTGTTTGGTGAATGGAAAATAAAGGGTTGGCCTGGATATCCAGTGTCTATATCAGAAACCCCCAAAATATTGGCTGCTTGAGGCTGATTCATTGACAGATGATCGATGTGCTCCATGGTGGAGAAGCTGGTCAGCCTGGACCTGACATTCTGACTGTGACGCTCTGTTTGCACTTGATGTGAAGTAGAAGCGATTGAAAAGTCATTCGTGTTTGGACCAAAGCAGCTGGCCGACTGACCGACACTGTCATCCTTGAGCTGGTTCCTTGACCCAGTTATGATCAATTAAGAGAACTGTGCTAAAAAATGAGCCGCTTTTGGCATGAGTCATTTTTCTATCTCAGTCGTGTCTATTTGTCACTTGCATCACACATTCAATTCAAAATAATTGTGGTTCATCCAATCGCTCAAAATGTCATTTGCTTCAAATGGACTGTATTATAATACTTTTCTGGTCTAATCGACCACTCAAAATGCTTTACGCTATGTGTCACTCACACTAATGGATCAACCATCAGGGAAAATATGGGGTTTGGTAAGACACTTTGACATGTGAGGAGCCAAGTCTGTGAATCAGACGTGTCAGTGTTGGATCTTTTTATCAAGCCTCTGTGTCAGTGACAGCTATGACTGGAGGTGTTGTGTTGTTGTCCATCAGTCTTTCTGTTGGCATATCTCAGGAACTCCTGGAGGGATCAGCGTAACCTCACAAAACAAGTTTTTGGACACAGCTCAAACAAATGTCTATCAACTAATTTTAGAAATCTGTTCATCTATCAGCGTCACACTTGGCATGTGAATTGTAAATGGCCCAGTGAAGAGCAAAGTGGAATTTGGTGCGATTTGGACACAATATGTTATAATAATAGAAATAAACTTTGAATAAACAGACGCCCAGTGCTCTGTAGCAGGGCCGACTGGGACGTAAGTAACATTGTGGATCATGAACTTTGAATACTCAGGTGCAGAGCTCTTTGTGCAGCAGTCGTGGAGCAGCTTCATGGTTCTGTGGACTGAGTTCAGCAGCAGGTCTTAATTTGAAACTCAAGTCCATTCTGCATCAGGCCGAATCAGAGCCCCTTTGCACCAAGAGCTCTGGTGAAAAATGATTGTTTTACAAGAGGAATGAAAGCTGCAGCGAGACAGAAAAAGCAATGGGGGTCGGCAGGAGGGAATATATAGCGGGGAAACTAGAAATGAAGTGATGAAATGTGGGCTGAGGCACTGCAAGCTTATAGGTTTATATAGACCCTCTTTCCATAAGGACTGTGTTACATCCAAACCAAATGGATCTCCAGTGACAACCAGTTAGCTCTGCTATCAGGCAGGGGGCACTTTGTTGCCCTGCAGCA